ATATGTTAAACAGAAGGGATCAGGGAGAGAAAACTCCAACAGGTATGAATCAAGAGAGGCCATAACATGAAAAATCTTGCATGTCAAACTAAAAAGTTTAGATTTTTACCCTAAAACTAACAATATTTTTGTTTGCATGTTTTTGAGAGAGAGTCTGTCTCTGTCATCAAGGCTGGAGTGCAGTGGTACAATTATAGGTCACTGCAACCTTGAACTCGTGGGCTCAAGCAATCGTCCTGCCTCAGCTGCTCGAGCAGTGAGGATTACAGGTATGTACCATCATGCCTGGTTAATTCTTTATTTACAATTTTTTTTGTAGATGGGGTCTCACTATGTTGCCCAGGCTGGTCTTGAGCTCCTGGCCTCAAGTAGCCCTCTTGTCTCAGCCTCGAAAAGTGCCGGGATAATAGTCATGAGTTATAATGCCTGGCCTACTAACAGAGATTTTTTAACAGTAGATAAATGTGATAAAATTGTTACTCTGAAATTTTCAGACTGGTGGGCATGTGAAAACTGAATAGGAAAAGGATGAAACTGGAGGCAAAGAGATACTTGGGAGCCTGGTTTTGGCATTCAAGAAGCAATGCTATGGCCTGAAAGAAGGCAGAGCAGTGGATCCACAGAGATGGACTAGACAGGCAACACAAACAACAGAGTTTGCTGAATGGAAAAAGGGAAGGAGAAGAATAAATCAGAAATGATACCTAGATCCTGGAAGTTTGAACATGTTGAGTTTGAAATGCCTGAAAGAATCTATTCAGAGACACCTAAAAGGCAGTTAGATTCACAAGTCTAAATCTCAGAGAGTCGTTTTGACTCCACAGTTAGAGAGATATAACTTAAAAAAATAGCAGAGACAAACAGAAAAGAAACAAAGGGGACAAAAATTTACAAATTTCTCCTTCTAATAATCCTATTACATGGTTTAAAAAAAATACAAATATTGGTTATTTTTTTCCCTCTAAATGTACCATTTGTATTATCTAGTGAAAATATACCACAAAGAAAAAGATAATGGTAATAATTTTCACCCAAAGATAGGTAATACACAGTACTGAAATTTTGTTTATTATACTTGGGCTACAAGAAAGTTAATTATAAGATGGTTTAGCTTTAGAAATGAATAATTTATGTTCAATGTGCATGCTGTTTCAAAGATCACTTGTTACAATAAATTACGTTAAGTCTAAAATGTTAAATATAAAACAAAGAAAACTGAGCAAAGATTTGTCAGGTATGTTATTTTAGTGAAAGTTCCATTTCAATTTTTTGAGGGGGGAGGATGGAGTCTCGCTCTGTCATTCAGGCTGGAGTGCAGTGGCACCATCTTGGCTCACTACAACCTCTGCTTCCCGGGTTCAAGTGATTCTCCTGCTTCAGCCTCCCCAGTAGCTGGGATTACAGGTGCCCGCCACCATGCCCAGCTAATTTTTGTATTTTTTTTTTTTAGTACAGACGGGTTTCACCATGTTGACGAGGATGGTCTCAATCTCCTGACCTCATGATCTGCCCGCCTCAGCTTCCCAAAGTGCTGGAATTAAAGATGTGAGCCACCACGCCCAGACCAATTTCTAAAATATTATTCACTTTAAGAACTTTAAGCATTTTCATTTAGATGTTCAGTTACATTTATTTACCTAACAGGTTCATAAGGTTGATCACATATGAAGAATCCTCTTCTCTGGAGTTGTATAATATCTCCTTTTTTCAAATCCTTAAGGCAGGGATCCCCTAGCATTAGTTCTTCATGCTGTAAAGATGATATGAAACCAAAACACACTTTTCTCAAAATCAGGGTAGTAAAACAACTCTAAAATGCAAGCAGTTTCCACTAACTAAAATATTCCCATTTAAAACAGATTATGTTAAAAAGTTCACTACTTAAGGACAATGAAACAGTGAAGTATTAAAATAAATTGACAATTTATCACATTTTTAAGTTACCATTCATAAACTGACTAGCTTCAAGAAAGCTTTTAAATAAGCTGATTAGCATTCCTGAAGAAATAAATGATTTTCCTGCTATAAATATGATGCAAGAAGCAGGTATAGACTTAGCTGAATTAATGCTGGTGTAGCACTTAAATACAAGGGTCAGATTTCAATCCCAACTCTACTATTTATCCTCAGGCAAGTTACTTAACCTCACTGTGTGTGCTTCACTTTCTGTCATTATAAAATGAAACATTACTTACATCTTTTTTTTTTTTTTTTTTTTTTTTNTTTTTTTGTAGAGACGGGGTTTCACCATGTTGTCCAGGCTGGTCTCAAGATCCTGAGCTCAAGCGATCCGCCCGCCTCGGCCTCCCAAAGTGCTAGGATTACAGGCATGAGCCACCATGCTCGGCCAACTTACATCTTTTGATAAAGATGTAAAATTTAAATAAAATTCTACACATCTTTTCCATTTTATCTGAGGATCCAAAATATACAAAATTAATTTTTTTAATTCTAAAGAAAAATGTAAAAGGTGAAATATGGTTTCTTTGGAAGGTTACCTTACTGTTCTTGTTGACATACTGCTTAAAGTCCTCGTCTTTTCCTAGCACTGGCTTTGTAATCAAGTGCTCATAAGTGACACAGATTGCTGGAATAGGAAGAGCATGGGCAGTCTCTGCAAGCCAGGTGATCTTAGTGGTTTTCTTGTAGTCTTTGTTTTCCAAATTCAATTTTGCATCAAGAGATATAATTTTTCCATCAGCATTTCTATATATAAAAGTATTCAAAGAAATATTAACCACAGCTGCCATAAATTGATTATTTTGTTCCATAATAATTTTATATTATAAAATAATTTGTTTTATTTTGTAATAAATAGATAAGAAATTTTCTTGGGAAAAATTTCAAATCAAACATTTATTTGAACTCCTAATATGCCAGATATATACTGGTTAATAGATAAATACAATACAATCACTGCCACGGAGATACTAATAATCAACTAGAGAACAGATTGACGTACATTTGATGAGGAACATGTACATATTTATTAACTTAAAGCCACCTGCATTATTCATTATAAAATCTGAATTACTATATTTAAAAACATTTGGCAATTCTTTGCAATCATATTTAATAACTGCGCAATTAAGATTTCAGAGTTTACATAAATTAATCTTAAGCATACTATGTTGCATTTATAGAATCTAAAGATCAAATTCATAAGTGTAGCACACTATAGTAACTAGAAATTCAAACTGATTGTTAACCAATCAATTTTAAAGTAAATTTTAGTATAAATTCTGTCTAAAAGATACCCATGCAAGGCAAACGTAGAGTCTTTTTATCATGTAATTTCTCATTAAAACATTACAACTATTTTTTTATATCCAGACATAATTTTCAACACCACAAATAAAAGACATCTTGATAGCCTGTTGTTAAATTGAAACATATAAGGAAAACAATTTGTGTCCATAATTTGCAGTAGCTATCTGGGCAGATTTACTAGTCAGCAGCATGCATGTGTCTGAATTAGGTAACGTCTGACAAGTAAATACAAACAAAATACTTTTCTCTCATGTTTATTTGAAAACAAACAAAAAGTTCTTACTTGTGTATTTTTGTAATGTTGAGGTTTCCCCAATTTATAAATGTAACCATCTCACCCTCCGAAAAAGTTTCTGCATCTGCACCTTCAACAAAAACTTTGGGACTATACCACACAGGCTTTAAGCCAACATCAGGATTCTGATTGATAAAGAAAAGCAGAGTGTCTGTTGAAACAACAACTTATGGAACCCAGTATGCAAATATATACATTCATTCTACTCTTTAACCAGTCTTCTGTGCTTCTAAACTATTGCAGTTCACTGCTGTATTAGAAAGAAAATGCTTTACTCTTTCTCCATCTACCTATTTTAACATCAACATATTCCCAATTCTGTTCTTAGCATTTATACAATACATACTTGGCCTCAGTAGAAATCAAGAGTTTGAATTCCAGCTCTGTGACATTGGATCAGCAACCTGACCACTAATGTTAGTGGAATTAGATGAGGTAGCCTGCCCCTAAGATTACTTCCAGCCTAAAAGAATCATTCATTGATTTCATAGCTAAGGCAGTGTTATCACTTAGTATCTCTTCAACTAGAATCTTCTTCCTATCCTTAGAATCTTACTGCTTCTGCAGCAAAAGAGAAAATCAGTCATTCTTAAGCAGTGGTTATGGAACATTACAGGACAACAGATGCTACCTTAGCAGGAAATTATGGACCTTTCAGATTTTAGAAGACAGACTTTAAAGAAAGTTATTACCTATATAAATTATAGATAAGTAAATTTTCTGCCTTTCCAATGTGTATGATATGGAAAGAAAAAGAGATGCAGGGAATAAAAATAATGCCATAATTTCAGTTTTTGTTTGGCAGAATTCAAAAGAAAAAAAGTACAAGAAGACCTTTTGAAATAAACATTAACCAGCATGTGTTTAACAACTGTTCAATGAATTCACCAATGTATGTTATAACAACAGATAATATACTAAGCTCAGAATAGAAACTGATAGGCTAAATATAAAACACTTTGTGAGGGAAATATAATAATGAAAATTACACAGAGCAAACTGAGTAATCCAGTCACAATTTAAGAGTGTGCTTCCTTAACAAGTAGTTCTTATTTTCAACAATGAGCAGTACTTAGTAATTTAATTTTTTAAATTTTATTTGAGGCAGGAAGGGTCTTGCTCAGTCGCACAGACTGGAGTGCAGTGGTATAGTCATAGCTCAACGTAGCCTTGAACTACTGGGCTCAAGCGATCCACCTACCTCTGGGATTACAAGGATGAACCACAATGCCTGGCTAATTTTTTAATTTTTTTTTTGTAGAGACAGAGTCTTGCTATGTTGACCAGAATGGTCTCAAACTCCTGGCCTCAAATGATCTTCCCATTTCTACCTCTCAAAGTGCTAGGATTACAGGTACAAGTCACCATGGCCAGACTAGTAATTTAATCTAAACTATCTGACCACAANAAAAAAAAAAAAAAAAAAGCACTCTTCAAAACTTTTATTCTCATGATTGAAATTTTAAAACATTCAGTATGCTTCAGATTTATGCTAACTGTACTGTAGGTGATGTGACAAGTCAGATACTACTACTTATCTGATCAAAACAACCAGATGTAAAGAAAGGCAAAGCCAAATCAATCAACTAAACACACACCCCAAATGTTATTAGGATTCAAATCTTTAAAATTAAAAAGTAGCTAATGACATACATGGGAAGACAATCAATTATATAAGGCTACAATTTAGAGTATATATAGCTCTTTACAATGTCTATCATCTTATATGTGAGTTAGTCTATGAACATAGTTGTAAGTTTGGCTACTAGTATCTGAGTTAGTCTGTGAACGTAATTTTCAGTATATAATGAAATATACTGAAATACAGACAACTTGTAAAGCTGAAATAAAAGAACTCTTTCACCAGCCTGGGCAACATGGTGAAAACATGTCTCTACAAAAAAATACAAAAATGAGCCAAGTGTGGAGGCAAGAGACTTGTAGTCCCAGGTATTCAGAGGGCTGAGGTGGAAGGATCACTTGAGCCCAAGGCAGAGGATGCAGTGAGCTGAGATCATGCCACTGTACTCCAGCCTGGGCACCAGAGCAAGGCCCATCTCAAAACTAGGGAAGGAAAAAAAAAAAAATTATTGTTTTGCTTCAAAATTGTCAACTAAGCAATAATGAGAATCTGGGATGACCATGACTTAACAAACAGGAACTCTATACTACTCATATTTAAGATTTCTATTCAGGGCCAGGTACAGCAGCTCATTCTTGTAATCCCGGTATTTTGGGAGGATAAGGTGAGCAGATCATTTGAGCCAGGAGTTCAAGACCAGCCTGGCCGCCAACATTGCAAAACTCCATTTCTACTAAAAATACAAAAATTGCCAGGTGTAGTGGCACACACCTGTAATCCCAGCTACTCAGGAGGCTAAGGCACAAGAATCACTTGAACCCAGGAGTCAGTGAGCCAGGATCATGCCACTGACACTCCAGCCTGGGCCACAAAGTGCAGCTGTTTCAAAAAAAAAAAAAAAATTCTATTCAGAATTTAAATGAACAGATGCTATTTTCACTTCACTTATACTTTCCAAAACAGGGGAAATGGAAGTGTAAGAGACTCTGAAGTCAAGCTGTGATTCAACAGTAGTAGGTCTAATGTTTTGGCTTAAAGACAAAGGTGACAGTGAATACCCTAGTTAATAAAGACTACACCTTCGATTTCTCATCTTTCAGAATTACTCTAGGAAGAGATAAATTCTCACTACACATTAAAATATGCTAACTCTACAGAACAAAAAAAAGCAGCACCTGAGCATAACAGTTCTGTGTGATGTGCTATGGACTGTTACTAAACAAACTTCCTTAAGGCAAAAAAATCTGCAAAAAGATTTACTTCATTTATTATCAAATCCTGACAAAAAAGGTTGAATAGAAAATCATCTCGAAATCATGCCACTGACATGAAAGCACATTTTCCTTTTTATTATCCTGCTCCTTCTTTTAACAGAGAGAAACACATCGGTGAAACTGTTAAGAGTGACCTTTGGGTGTTTGGCTACTTCTTTCATCTCCTCCTGAGCTTCAGGTACATTCACTGGGATCACTTCTTTCTTTAGTAATGCAACATATCGTGGAGCCACTGGGTCAATAACCTGCAACAAATACATCTTCATGTCAAAACACTGAGAGAGCTTATAAAGCGTCATAAATAAAATAAATAATAGCACAGGAATACTAACTGGCTTTCTTGTTACTGCATTTACTAATTTTTTTTTCATCTGTTAACTCTTTTTTGATATTTATCATCAAGCAGAAAAAAGAGAAACAACTGTAAACCAAGACTCATGAAAGATTTAGACTTCTTTCCCAAGAATAGTTACTAGCAGGTGAAATGAAACCAATTAAAGCATAATATTAGAGTTATTTTGAAAATAATTTTAAAATCAGGTATTAGTAAGAAAAAATTATCCGGTGGGATTATACCTTAATTCTAAACGTAAATGTGATATTTGATTTGGTAGTTTGGAGAAGTCCATTTTAAGAGAATACAGATATTTTTGTTTCAGTATTGTTTTATTTAATCAGTGTTAGGGTAACACATCACCATCAAAAGCCGAATAGCATTTAGTCACTATAATAAGGCAATTCTATAGATTAAAAGTATAAATGATATCTCTACTGGTTTACATGCTATATATAGAGAGAGACCAGTATATTCTGAGTACCTAGCTAAGGCTTGTCTCAAACAGGTAATCAATAAATATTTATAGATTGACTGAATAAATGGTCATACACATTATGCTCTAAACTATTCTACTTCCAAATCAGTAGTAGCATCCCCTTCTGGAGCTGATGTATTTTTCTCACTTCACTGTCGAGTGTGAAATTAGCCATGATGACCAATCACAATAGCAATGTTCAGACACTATATATAAAGCACATGTGAGAAAAATGTAGATGAAAGCAAACAAATAATTAAGTGATAGAAGTTATTTTTTCTCATTAGGAGAATGTAGGAAACAGTGGTATAATTAAACCTGTTTTTATTTTTCCATTGTTACCATTATCGGATTGGCTTTTGTCAGTGTTGAAGGTAGTTTTCAGCTTCTGAAAAGAATATCGTGGAAATTCTGAATGAACTCAGAGAGGAAGCCATCCTCAGAGAGTCATTCATGCAAAGTCTGAAAAGCTATTTAACTTCTCCTCGTCTGCTAATCCTCATCTGCTTACATTTCATACTAATACTAAATCAGTGCCAGCCTTCTCAAATTTACTGTTTCATTCCTTCCTTGAGGCTTAAAGGTCATTCTTACTAGTTAAGGATTTCTCCTTTCAGCTGGAATAATCAAAGATTTAATTCATAACTGACTATTCCTTATTTAGGCCAGTAAGATACAATTTCTTGTAAAAAGGTAAACTAGACAACCCTGCCTGAGAAACTTAGTTCACTGCAGCTGTTTCCTCAGCTGACAAAAAGAACAGAAGGATGTTTCTTACACTTGACTAATTTTAATGATCACTTGGGACAGTTGTGAGCACAGATTCTAAGACAACTTATCCCTAAAAAAAATTAAAATTTTAATGGTATGACTTAAATTTCAGAAATCCAATTTTTAGGCCAGGTGCTGTGGCTCATGTCTGTAATCCCAGCACTTTGGGAGCCTGAAGCGGGTGGATCACGAGGTCAAGAGATAGAGACTATCCTGGCCAACATGGTGAAACCCTGTCTCTACTAAAAATACAAAAGTTAGCTGGAGGTGGTGGCGCACACCTGTAGTCCCAGCTACTCAGGAGGCTGAGGCAGGAGAATCACTTGAACCTGGGTGGTGGAGGTTGCAGTGACCGAGATCACGTCACTGCACTCCAGTCTGGCAACAGAGCGAGACTCTCAAAAAGAAACCTAATTTTTAACAAGCATTCCATAGGATGGTTAGGATCGGGCATATTTGGGAAACTTGGATTACAAGACTCAAAAGGTGTTTTTAGCTCTGAAAGTATGCAATTCTAAAAGTCTCTGGATCAGTGATTTTCAAATTACTCCAAAGAGTCCTAAGGATTTAAAAGAGGTGCCCCAGTAGCACTAAGCAGGGGGGAAGGACAAGAGGGTCTCCAGATCGCCTTCACATACTTCAACCAGAACACCTATGCTTTTGTTTTACTTATTGGGGTTTAATTTTCAAGAAAACTTTCACTGGAAGAAGACTCATTTGTGGAGTCGGAGAGAAGTCTCTACATACTTTATTAGCTGGGAACAAATGCAAGGGGGTTGAGATGAGAGTTGGGAAAAGAACTATCATACTACTGAAATACATTTTAAAACTAAAGCAGTCAATCAGGGTTGATAGAGATTGATAACAACTCTATAATGAACATCTTAAACCTGTGACTCTTCTGCCTTGACTAAAAAGTTAAAACCTTAACAGTTAAGTAAAAAGCAAGAAGAAAATTAGTATGGTTAATACAAAGTAACCTCTTGAAATGTCTCCTACCACTACCAAGGAAAAAAATTATTTATAGCTATATTCCATATAACTATGACAAAAAAAATATTAAGTACTAGTTTGCTATCAAGATGAAAACTCAGGCTAAGAAAACAAGGATCACAGTATTGTCGAAGGGATATTGAGAAAACTAATCACCCCACGTCTCTTCCCCTTCATCCATTTCTCCCTTCTTTTCTTTAACATGCACAATTCACTCCATAAATGAGGCTTTTTCTCCAAAGGAGCATGCAAACAAATCTAGCTACTTTTTTTTTCTAACAGAAGCTGCTTTAAAAAAAAAAAAAAAAAAATGCTGAGTTAGTTAAGAGTAGGGGTGTCCAAAGAATGATTTAGCTCTGCCAGTAACACTTACTTCACAACTCCATGAAACTAAATTTAGTTCACTGATGCTTCACTTAAATGTTACCCACAGTGCTTGAGAAGAAAAATAGAGTAAGCTAGAAAACAACAAAGCAATAATTAGAGATTGAGAGTGCCATGAACTCTAAATAAGATGATTATGTACCTAAGAATTGAAGGGAATGGGTTTCGGTGTATGAAGACATCATGAAGGCCAGCAACAGAAACAAAGTAATGATCAGAATGATTTCCTTTTCACTACCAATCGACTAAAAACAATGCTATGTTTTAAAGATAGTGTCTAATGATTAAAGACCTCATAGGATTCAGGAGAAAGAAAGCATACTGAAAATAATCATCAACTTTCACTCTCTCCCAATCCCCCACTTAAAAGAAATGAAAGGTTTTCTTTTGTTTAAAGACACAAATCCAGAAGAATTAGTATAATAAAAGAGAAAGCCAGGCTCGGTGGAAAACTCCTGTAATCCCAGCACTTTAGGAAGCCTAGGTGGGCAGATCACCTGAGGTCAGGAGTTCCAGACCAGCCTGGCCAACATGGTGAAACCCTGTCTCTACTAAAAATACAAAAATTAGCCGGGTATGGTGGTGGGTGCCTGTAATCCCCGCTACTCGGGAGGCTGAGGCAGAAGAATTGCTTGAACCCGTGAGGCAGGGGTTGCAGTTAGCCAAGATCACGCCATTCATTGCACTACAGCNAAAAAAAAAAAAAAAAAAGCAGCAACAAAATTCTGGAAGCTGAAAAACATATAGAAAGATCCCCTCCCCACTCTATATAACCAGGCAACTGCCTCTCCCCTACCTTGACAAAAGAATGGAAGTTTACTCTGTGAATAAGAAGGTATCTAGATCCTGTCAGACACCAGAAAGAGCCAAAGGAGAGGGTACTGCACAAGAGACAAGGGGAATAATGAATTTATGATAGTAAATGTAAAAAACCCTCAGTAGTCTTCCCTAATTCGGCCCCAAAACCTGGCAGCCAGGACTTCACACTCCCCGGAAGGTGATTCGATGAAGCGCCTCTGGGAAAACTGCCTAATCCATGAGTAAAGATATAAAATTACTGTCATGGAACTTCTCCAACAAAGATGTTTATACAGTGAAGCTCAGTTGAAAGCCCAACTCTTGCTCTTTGGGCTTCTAATCACTCTTTATTTCCTGATATTAAACATAAGCAGATAACCACGGCTAACCAGACACCTGAGAAAATGCCTTTAATGTGAAAGAAACCAAAATGAACAAAATGGAGAAAAGAGACGCTACTCTGCAAAAAAACTACTATTAATACCATGCAACAAGAATAGAAAGTTATTTTGAAAATTCGGAGAACAAGAGAAACACTGGAACTATAATGGCATAAATAAAATTCAATAGAAAGGTGGGAAGATAAAAATTAAATAGATCTGTGAGAAACTAAAGACAAGAAGGAAAATAAGACAGAAAACAAAATGAGAGGACCAGTCCAGGAGGCCCAACATCTTCCCAAGAAGAATTCTGGAGAGAAGAAATGCACAGTAGAGAAGAAAGAAAAAGAATACAAGGTCAGGTGCAGTGGCTCACACCTGTAATCCCAGCACTTTGGGAGGCCTAAGCGGGTGGATCACAAGGTCAGGAATTCAAGACCAGCCTGGCCAAGATGGTGAAACCCCGCCTCTCCTAAAACTACAAAAATTAGCTGGGGCAGGCAAAGTGTCTCATGCCTGTAGTCCTCGCATGGGTGGATAGCCTGAGCTCACAAGTTCGAGACCAGCCTGGGGAACACGGTGACACTCCGTCTCTACTAAAAATACAAAAAATTAGCCAGGTGTGGCAGCGTGCACCTATAATCCCTGTTACTCAGAAAGATAAGTCAGGAGAATTACTTGAACCCGGGAGGCGGAGGCTGCAGTGAGTCAAGATCGCACCATTGCACTCCAGCCTGGGCGACAGGGCGAGACTCTGTCTCAAAAAAAAAAAAAAAAATTAGCTGGGCGCGGTGGCAGGCGCCTATAATCTCAATTATTCAGGAGGGTGAGGCAGGAGAATCGCTTGAAGCTGGGGGTCAGAGGTTGCAGTGAGCCGAGACTGCACCACTGCCTGGGGAACAGAGTGAGACTCTGTTTCAAAAAAAAAAAAGAAAAAGAATTCAAGAAAATTTCCCAGAACTGAAGGAATGTGTTTCCAGAATGGAAGCTACATGTTCTTCCAATGGATGTGGATGAAAAGAGACCCTCACCAAGACCTATCATCATGAAATTTCAGACTAAAAACACAGATCTGATAAAAGGTTTCAAAAATCTTCTTCATCCCATGCTCCCCTGTTAGGGAGCTACCAGAAGTACAGCACAGCAAAGCAAGAAGGTTATACAAAAAAAAGAAGATGCAAAAATGGAGCAATGTTCTGTAATGTCCATCACAGAACAAAAGCAAAGGGAATCCCTAGAAGGATGATGAAGAGACCTAGGAAGACAGCTGTGCCTCAGAAGCCAATGAGCCCTGAATCCAGATCAGGTTCCAGGGCAGCACAGAAGGCTCTGGCAGAGATGTCTCCAAAATGAAACTGAAAGTATACCTAAGGCATCTGAATATCTTGGTGGGAAACTTGCACACGTTGTGGAGACAGAATTAGAAAAGTACTTAGGGGGGCCAGACACAGTGGCTAATGCCTGTAATCCCAGCACTTTGGGAGACCGAGGTGGGCAGATCATGAGGTCAGGAGTTTGAGACCAGCCTGTCCAACATGGTGAAGCCCTATCTCTACTAAAAATATGAAAATTAGCTGGGCTTGGTGGCGGACACCTATAATCCCAGCCACTCAGGAGGCTGAAGCAGGAGAATCGTTTGAAGCTGGGAGGTGGAGGTTGCAGTGAGCCAAGATCACACCCTTGCACTCCAGCCTGGGTGGCAGGGTGAGACTTTGTCTCAAAAAAAAGAAAAAGAAAAGAAAAGTACCCAGGGGTGGAAAGAGGAAAAAATATTTTATTTTTATTTTTGAGACAGGGACTCACTCTGTCACCCAGGCTGGAATGCAGTGGCATGATCACGGCTCACTGCAGCCTTGACTTCCTGGGCTCTAGTGATCCTCCCACCTCAGCCTTCCAACTAGCTGGAACTACAAGCGCACGACACCAGGCCCAACTAATTTTGTTTTTTTTGTAAAGATGGGGTCTCATTACGTTGCCTACGCTGGTCTCAAACTCCTGGGCTCAAGCAATCCTCCTGCCTTGGCCTTCCAAACTGCTGGGATTATAGGCATGATAACCTGGCCTAATTTTTTTTTTTTTTTTTTAACAGAAAAACAAAAACAAAAAAAAGGAAAAATAAGCAAATGAGAGGAAGAGACAAAGCAAGACAATCGACTATATGCAAACCAAAAAGGAGAAAAAGTAAAAGGCCAAATTATTTATCTTTCATCATGGGAAGTCAACTAGTATGTCTAAATGTAACTAAAAAATCAGTTTAACACATATATTTCATTCAGAAATATAAGCAATATGTCAGGCGCAGTGGCTCATGCCTGTAATTCCAGCATTTCGGGAGGCTGAGGCGGGTGGACCACAAGGTCAGGGGTTTAAGACCAGCCTGGCCAACATGGTAAAACCCCATCTTTACCAAAAATACAAAAATTAGCCAGGTGTGGTGGCAAGCAATTGTAGTCCCAGCTACTCAGGAGGCTGAGGCAGGAGAATCACTTGAACCCAGGAGGTGGAGGTTGC